GGGGGCATGGATCTGAATTCTGTTGAACAATCCTCATTCCTTGATGACATGGTTGCGACATGGAGGAAGCAATTCAACAAGGATCAGATGAGGCCTAAGAATGTTATGAATGTTGTGCATAGATCATCTGATGCAGGAGCTATGTTCAAGCTGAGTTTACTGGTTATAGTGATCAATACACTCGCAGAATGCAGCCGAGTCGGAGTTTGCAATTTGCGTTTCCTGAGCCGCCTCCAAAGCATAGATATTATACCAAAGATTGATTGGTGTAAATATATATACGACTGCATAAAGACAAGCAAGAAATGCTGGAATAGGGACAGCCTTATGTCCTTTTATGCAGGGCCATTAACCTGCTTAACGGTAAGTAAGAAGTTCAATATATGTAAATATACTTTATACAACAAGTGTAAATACTAACTAATTTGTACAATTTTCTCAGTTACTGTATGTACATTCAACATCATGTGCACGCATTCAAGTCGAAGACGGGACACCTCCTTTGAGGGCATGGACGATGGATTTGTTGAGGAAAATGCAAGAGGTTGATATTAGAGGTGGTGGACTGGGATATGCGCAGGTTAAACATGTGCCGAATGTCGAGCATGCACCGGTTGACAAGCATGGTGATCCGGGTATGAAAGCGAAGGCTACTAGGGAATCAAGTCGGCATAATCAAGAGATTGACGATGGAATGACGAAGGAGGTAAATGTGTAAACTATATACAATAGTTGGTTATATTTATTTATAATACAATATGAGTTAGATGTTTGTTCGCTTGACGTTTTTTTATGTGAAAATGTTATTCTCATGTAATTTAGAGTACAAGTTAATCCATACATATTATTCGAAGTATTAGATTTTCATACATAAGCAGTTTAACACTTTGAACTGCTATTTTGTGAACGAACATATGTTTGTTACGTACCCAAATTCATATAACATGGGCGCAACCGATACGGTACACCCTATTTACGAAGTACTTTACTGTTGTAATTTTTAGAAATAAATCGGTGTGATAACAATGCATCAAGTTAGTATAAGTTCATAACATGAAACGCACGAAGTAGATGTTAACATTTTTAGTACATATGGTACATTTGTTTGCTTTTTAATAGTTTGACGTTTTCTTTCTTCAGGAATGCGTTAAGAGTATGTGGAACAAGATTCATGAGTTGTCTACCGCAAGAGATGAGGCAGATTTGCATCTACAGTCGCTTATTGACCGCTTTCCCGGGGACGTTGAAATTGAAGAATTCAAGTATAAGTTGTCACAAGTACTTAAAGGGAGCCAATGGTACAACCAACCAACAGAGCCAACGGTCTACGAGCAGTCACAGCCACCCACTGCAGATGCTACACCGCCAACGACGGGTTACATGCCGACGTTGGCTATTGTTGAAGTAACACCTGCGAAGGTGGCGACCATATCGGATGTTGATTTATTGTCCCCATTATCTCAGTTTTAGACAAGTTCGACAGTGATCGCTGAGGTTGATAGGGCTTCAAATGAGAAGTCCGCGCATCACACGAGATATAATATGCAGTCGAGTAAGCAGGCTGATGATACAATACAGTTAAAGAGGCCATCATTCATCTCACAAGAGGACAAAGTTGGAAGTGTCCGAAATAGGACTATTGAGCAGTCTGAAAGTCAGTCACGAAAGATGTGTAAGAGAGGCGATGAAGGAGCAGTTAAGTGTATGCAAGGAAGTAGTGGACAACCACTTGTTGCTTATGGTGACATCGATCCACCATCGTTTGATCTGGGGTTAAGCCTATGCGATAAACAAGTCGTTCCGGTTGTGGATAGTACACGGGCAAGGAGGGATCCAAAGCTTAGTTTTAAGCTACGATCACCTTATGTTTCACGGGCTGTTACGTTTGACGTAAGTAACGATGAACGTAAGCTACAAGAGTGGGTAATGCGAGGGATCGGTGGAATTATGTAAGTCACATCATTGAAATGTTTTAATATTTTGTTATAACAAATATATTTTTTTTACTCGATGACCTAATATTATGATTGTAACTATGCAGTGAGCCAATCTTCTCCTCGCCAAATGGACTAACTGTTACACGGAAAGCAATGCAATCACTTGCATCCCAGTCTGGGGTTTGCAAAGATGTTTTAGACGCATGGTCAACAGTCCTCAACAAGGAAGAAAGATTAAGGAGCCATGAATCTCCACGCCGCCTTTTCTATCCAACATATGTTGCGGTAACTTTACATACTACCCAAGTTTCTTATTCAAATAACAAAATGTATATGATCAAATCAATGTGCAATGTCAAAGTAACAGCTGTTATAATTAGCATTGTAGGTGCTTACATTTTATAGTGTAAATGTCTACTTTGTTATTGGATGTCGACATGTAGGTTCACGTACGATCGAGTCATAATGAACCTATAGTTCAACGCAATGAACATATTTCTTGATTTCATGAAGCGAGATAGCATAACAGCAGGTCACGTAACCGATACATATGCACGGGAAGTTCACGTTATACATATACACATGGATATCACATGAGACATATGCACACGTAGTTCACATGAGACATATGGCCTAATCATATCACCACAAAAGGCCTGAGCATATTAACACATAGAGCCTCACCAGCTGAACAACATGAACAACATTGGTTCATTTGTATCGATATCAACCAATGTGTGATCATTACGTTCATTAACTATAGTTCACACGATAAAGGTTCATTTTGTGATTAGTTTTTCATATGTCCGCCGAGGTTACATACAGCTGAACAAATTCGAATTACCTTGTTCACAGTTACCATAGATACTGAACATTGGGTGATGAAGTTGTTCGTAACGATACGCATGAGAACATTTTCGGGCTTTGTGATTTAGGTTAAACTCTAGTGGTTGATGCACCTATCGCCCAAAAATATGAGATATACGACGTGAGGATCATACACACACCTATCCGTTTTAAACTGTGATGGAGTACTATTCACAGCAAGCACAAGACCAACGATATATGTCTCATGGGATCAGTGTTCACAACAATAACAGACACTGATCAGTTGTTATTTTAACGCAAAATATAGGTCGACATTGTGAACATACGTCTTCATAGACTTCCTATAACTGTTATGCATACATGACCGAGTCGGATCATATATTCATCTAAGCTACTGGTTCACATGTCGGGATATGAATACATACATGGCATACTGACCGAAAATATGATTTTATTCATGTGATGTTGTTGTGCATTTATGAACAACTTCTGCTTACTTTGGTTGTTAGTATGTTGTGTGTGGCCTTTGGTCTTATTATATCATGACATGTAATGGAACTGTTCATGTGCGTCAACCTTTCAATTATGCCATGAGTTCATATAGATGATCATCAATGAACCAAAACACCTTTGCGTAGTTGAATTGTAAAGTATCATATGTTAATACCTCTTATGTAAATTCTACAAAGTACGCACGTCTTTGTTAAGTGAAACTAACTACCTTGTGTTGTGCGCACATGGATCCAATCATGAGAGATCAATCTTTGGATGTGCACCAAAGGTACAAGATTTTCAAAAATATCATATCAAGCTACACACGAAATGACAAAGGGTTGATCGGTATGCGTAATGTTGACATGGTACGTATCACGTTTTGGTATGAAGATAATTGTACAATACCTAAACGCGTATTGAAATACTAACAACTAGGTTCCATAATCATTATATAGATATTTTTCCCGGTCGTAGAAGATGCGTACTATTACATGGTATTGTTTGATCTAAAACACCCATCAATCATGATTGTTGACTCCASGGATCGTGATGGCACGATTGAAGATATCTATGGATCTATTACTATATCTTTGGTTAGTATACTTTATTATTGGTCTTAGAGTCTGGATGCACAATATACATCATATCTAACTATTTTTATATATGATTTATTCAGCAAGACATGTTGATTATGCATCTAATGAGAGAGGGACATGAGGCTGGGAAAATATATGCAGAAACGGACCACGAAAAGATCTGAACCAGGTGGCAGTCCCGTGAAGGATCGATTGACTGTGGTGTAATGCTCATGCGGCATATGGAGACCTTTTTTGTAGGTGACATTGGGAAATGGGATTGTGGTCTGTATAAGGAGAGCACGAAGCAAAAGAGGCAACTTAAGGATTTGCAGACTAAGTACTGCTCCAAACTCATACTCAATGAGGAGAACATCAGAAAGAGTGCAGTCATAAAAGATGTTCATCGATTCATTGCAATGGAGACGTCATACAATCCGAAGAAGAAGCATGGTGATACACATAAAGGTCGGGGGAAAGGGTAGATGGAATTTGTAGTTGGTGTTGACATTATAATATTTCTAGTTTTTATTTTGAACTTTATCCTCTAGTTCAGTTATGTTAAGGCAACAGTTTTGGGACATGAAACTGCATTATCTTTTTTTTTTTTTTTTGAAATGAAGTATGTCTTTTGAACACCCTGATAAATCTTATAGCCTGTAGAACATCTACATAAGATGGTTTTCTGTTGGTATATTTGGTCAATTACTTTTGATGCAGGGATTGATATCAGGTGTGAAATTCTACCTAAAATTGAAGTTATCCTATCTTTYCTGCCAGCCCGAGGTGATACATGGAAAAGTTTAGACAGTTGATACGGGTGTACTTTTTGATAATGTGATTAGTTATGTGGATTTAGTGAGTTATTTGGTGAGTATACCAAATGCCCAAACTGTTAAGAGACTTAGGGTATGGTTGTTTATGTATTGGTACACCAATACCTATAGCTTAATCTATGTATTACTTAATCCAAACAACCAAATATCCCCTTACTGTTAGTTACATGTTATTGTATCAAAAATACAATTATTGTCAAACTCTGTCTACATGTGGCATTATAGTAGGTGCTCAAACGTTTAACTGTATAAACTTTCATCTCGAAAAGTTATTGAAAGTGTATATGTTATACACGGTGTCACATACGCGGTTGGAACATAATGTGATATTAAAGAAAGAACACATCCTTAACGGCGCATGACATCTAAAAAAAACTAAACGTCAAAACCAATAGTTTGAATAAACATCCTTAACGGCGCATGACATTAAAAAAAATAAACGACATAACCAATATTCTGAATAAAAACAAACAAACTGAAATCTAAACTACAAGGCAACGACGTCGCACGAACATACGTCAGTTAGACAGCAACAACTAAGCAACGGAAACGATCCTAAAAGATATGTAATTGAATGCTAACTACTCTATCAATTTTGGGCAATTACGTGAGTCGTGGCCACTGCGTTGTCCACATGTTGCACATTTTCATTTTGCTTTTTTGCTGTTATTTTGTATTTCTTCGGACACACTTACCAGCCTCTTGCCAGTGCCACAACCCTTGTTCCTTATTTCAGACGGTGGTAGGATGTCCACCTCATCARGTATGGAAACACCTAGATGATCTCTAATCGCATCCAGCTTTTGTTGTGATGGGTCTTCGTATGGAACTTCCTTCTCTATATCACCCATGAATTTATCGAGGTTACGCCCCAATCTAGCCAATATAGATTTATCATTACGTGCGATGCTTACTATGTCGTCGACTTTGGAATATACATCAATTATATACTCCTCTTTTTCGGCATCAACCTCACCATAACGCAGTCTTGCAGATTGTATATGCACTGGAACTAACTATCGTTTCCAACGACGTAATACGTATTTTTTCAGAATGAATTCAACTTCGTCGTTTATCAGTACCTTGAACGCGTGACGACAAAGATACCCGTTACGCGTGAATAGGTTGCAATCACATTCAACTGTGTTTGTTGAGTAATTACGGCACACCTGTCGTGTCAGAAATGGTAAAAACAACAACAGTCAAATTAAAGTAAAAAAGGATATGAATCAGTTTGTAGAAGGTGAGTTGGAGATATGATACCTGATACGTAATTTTGTCAAATGATTTATTGGTCTTGTGGCTTATCACGAATGACTTTAACTCATCACGGCATTCGACGGACTCAATATTACAAAACCAAACAACCTTCTTTATTTTCTTTTGGATGTCAAAAAACACGTTTCGACTGTATATGCTTGATGCATGACTTTCTAAACGCGACGGAGTAGCAAACTTTGAATTAGTCGTCCTCGTGACATTTTCGTGGATAAATTGTCTGTATCTTTGTTTCTCTATAGCTACATCGTAATTATTAAGGAATTGAACCAAATCAAACCAGTACGATTCGTATATGTTTATATACGAATTCGAACTCTCAGATCTTGATGTTGTTTTCATTAGTCCATACATCGGCATGTCCTTATAATAGGCAAGGATCCATGAGTGTCAGATTTCATACATCTCTATGAACCAAGTATCCCCACCTAGATTGAATTGATGAATCATCTCATGCCAACGAGTCTCAAACTCCATTGGGCCAATATGTATGTTCCATACGAGCTTGTTGATAACTTTATTGAAGTTAGGATCGTGATTTAGTGCGGCACTAACCTGTGTTTACAAGGATTCAACAAATGAACGAATAAAACAGAAACCTCATTTAAATACAATAGAATTCAAAATATACTACTTACCTTTGAAGGCACCTTCTTCATAATGTGCCACATACAGAGTCTATGCTTGGCTTCCGTGAAAACCATCGAGATAGCTTGCTTCATCGCCGAACATTGGTCTGTAATCACGAACAAAGGTTGTTTATCATGACATTTTAGAAAAGCCTTTAGAACCCAAGAAAAGTTATCAATTGTCTCGCCGCTTATTAGAGCGGATCCGACAACAACGGATGCCTTATGGTTGTCAACAGCCAGGAAGGGAACGAAGATCATTGCATGCCTGTAAAAACGTATCAAATATTATGAGTATGTATTTGTAGCCACGTCATTTGACAATTAAAAAAATAGAAACGATGTGGAAGACAAATAACTGTATTGCACTTGGGAATCTTACTTGTTAGTGCGAAAAGTCCCGTCAAACAATATGACATCACCGAATTCTTTGTAGTTAATTCTAGCAACTTCACCTACCCAGAAAATTGCGCTCAATTTTTGTTCATTGCACTTGTATTCGAAAAAGAAACTGGGGACAATATCCCGTCTGTTTGATAATTTATTGATCAACATCTTCACGTCTTTATTCCCAACGCAAGCAACAGCATCCCTCTTAAAATTCTTGAAATCGATTTCGGAGACTCGCGTATGTTCGAATTCCCCGTTCAATGCGGTTTGAATACGGTGAGCCCTTCTCGCACCAACATTGTAACTCGAGCTGTTTAGTACAGTTTTGAAGTCTGTATACTTCATCTGTCTATTCTTCCGAGAGAAACGACGATCATTAATATTGAACAATGCATGGTTATGTGCCTCAACAAACTCATAAATCTTGTAAGAAGCCCTATCCTTCGTCATATGTATTTTTATACATGCATTACACCCAGAACGCTTGATGTTTGTATTGCGGTATCTCCTTTCACCGACATGCATATCCAACGAATCAAAATCCTTTTTTCTTTGGGTTCCCTGCCTGCTGCAGGCCAACCACCTAGTTTGAATATCGTCGTACTTGTTTGTTTTTTTTTTTTGCATGAATACGAACATCAAAGCCGGCATTGTCCGCGTAAGTCCTGTACATCTTTTCAACCTCATTCATCGATGCATATTGTGTGTTGGTTTTTGGCTTGAGCGCGTCACAAACCTTTGGGGTAAAAAACTTTATTCCTTCTGAACTCTCGACTATATCATAATCAATTTCTTGTTGTGAAGAAATTATATTATCAGCACCTGGTGTAAACACAAGTTGTTAATTTTTGAGGTTAAAGTTAGTATGTATCACATGATTGTTTTTATAAATAGCAGCAACCATGGGGTACAGTGAACTCACATCAGCCAAGGTGGGCAGAAAGGCATTGTTAATAGTTCTAAAATATGCTGCTAGCTACAATATATCAATCTTATTACTGCCTCAGGCAAATACACTACCTTGTACCAAAAAATATAAGGAAAAGCCGTAAGATTAATGTAAGCAAGGAAACTGAAGATATATCATTGTTTCTTTCATCTGATGAACATATTTTGGTATTTAAACATGTTTCTAACTGGAATTTATGTACTAACAATCCACGATGTATGATTGAAGAAAGTAGTAATAAGTGTAGGTGCTTACATTTTATAGTGTAAATGTCTACTTTGCTATTAGATGTCGACATGTGAATTCATGTACGGTCGAGGAATGAATCCACAGCTGACGTGTCATAGTGAACCTATAGTTCAACGTAATGAACACTCATACTCGACATCATGAAGCGAGATAGTGTGACAACAGGTCACGTATCCGATACATATGAACGGGTAGTCCACATTATACCTAGACACATGGATATCACATGATACATATGCACACGTAGTTCACATAAGACATATACATTAACACATAGAGTTGGACCATCCGAACAACTGAACAACATTGTTCATTCGTAGCTATATGAAACAATGACTGGACAAGTGAACAAGTAGTTCACGTGATTACATACGAACTTGACCATATTAACAACTATACTAGGGTTGTTCATTGTGCTTATATATATCAGCATCCTCTCCTAAATACACCAACTTGAATCATTAAACCATTTTATATATCATATGTAATGACTGCGTAAGGATTGTTCTGGGTATTGTCAAAACGAACGTGGGTAGTTGCATTAGTCATTTGCTTTGTTAAGTTTGAAAGGGCATTGAAAAATGATTAGATTTTCGAATCAAAATGTTCATACTTCACTTATAAGCAACCACTATATTTACGAAAAAATAAAATAGAGAAAAACATGTGTTAGTATAAAATAATGACATAAACACATAGTGGCCTTGTGTTCGTATGTAGTTAAATGCATTTCATCCAGCACCTTCATCATTGCATAACCGGAAACATTTTTTTCGAACTTATGCTCTTTTTACACCGATTTTGGTTTCCATAATGATGATAATAAATATGGACACAAATTCATCTTTACAATAGCAATAGCTATCCAATTAAGCAAAATAAACATTATATTAATCACTTACCAATCGACAAGCTTTGATCATCTTCTTCATCACCGGAATTC